TATTTTCAGGAACTGTCTGCCTTATGTAGTAGCTAGAAGAATGGTTAAAAAGAGGGTTACTGAGAATCAAAACTCCCGCTTCAACTATTTTCTTAATTAAGTCTGTGATCCATTGTTGCCTTCCTTGAATTCTGTATTGGTTAATGTTTACTCCTAAGAAGGATTCGGGCAATTCCAAACATTCACATTTAGCATAGCCAATTAGAACTGGTTGAAGGGTAGACTTAGGCAAAAACCCCTATAATAAGGGCAAAGGCAACATGATCCATGTTTTCATCTACAAGTTATAACACCAAAGAGACTATTCATTAGTCAATAAATATCTTCATTTTATAATCAGGTAATTACATTGCTTATGTGATATTTTTCAAGGACCCACACCCATAAATCCACACCCAGGTTTTTTTTTTATCATAAATATTCATAAACCAACCAAATACATCCTGCTAAAAGTATTCCATAGATAAGGACTCGCCTGCTGGCAAATATTATTAGTTTGTTTGTTCGGAAGTTTATCACAATTTGGTGTACAAGATTTGACAGGGTCACTGTCACATTTGCACACAATAGAAGAAGATAACTGTTTTACTACTTATTTGCTTTGCAAATACTTATTTTTTTTTTACCAGTATGTCCTTGGAATATATCTCTAGGAATAGTATTATCTGGGTCAAAAAACAAATGCATATACAATTTGGCTAGAAAGTACAAAATTACCTACCATAGGAAAATTTGCATCTCTACCATGGAAGATGACAGTTCTCGTTATACCATAGCTTCTCTAAGGGAGTATGTTATCAAAGCTTTTGAGATTTTGCTATTCTAATAGGTGAGAAATGGTAACTCAGATAATTTGCATTTACCCTGTGATAAGCAAGTCAGGTGTCATCTTGCTCACCTATCACAAGAGTTTGACCATGTTGGTCATTCCCTCCTAGAAATGTTTTTCTCAATTGGGATAACACATTCTCAGTTCTTCTTCTAATTCTTCTTGGATATTTTCTTCTGTTTTCAAGTTTTAAAAAATGGAATTCCTCAAGGCTCAATCCTTAGACTGCTTCTTTCTATCTATTCATCCACTTGGTCACTTCGGTCCAATTAGTTGTGAGTTTAAATGTAGTATGTGAGCTAATGATTCCCTAATGTATATCTTAACCTCCAATGTGTACCTAAACATTGTACTTCTTGATATTGCCAATAAATTATCTAATGAATCTCATATTTACATGACAAAAACTGAACTTTTTTGAGCCCCCATACTTGATCCTTCTCAAGTCTTTTGTATTTTAATAATTGTCAAGTCTTCCTGTAGCTCAGGTGAAAATTTCTTTCTCACTTGAGCAAAATCCAATCCATTGTTAAATCCCATTAACTCCACTTTTGAAATATATCCAGAATCTCACTACTTCTAAATATCTTTGTAACTACCACTCTAGCCCAAACCACTCTCATATTCCCTGAATAATTGCAACCCTGGATAATTGCAATAGTCTTTGAACTGGTCTCCCAGCTTCTCTTCTTAACCTGATCCCCAAACATCCCAGATCTATCCGCTCTCCAGAGGCCATAATCTACTTTCTAAAATCTATTTTATTAAGGAAAAATTTACATTAAATAAAATGTACCCATTTTAATGTGTATAATTTGAGCACTCTAAAATATTGCTTGTGCCTGTCTGTTGTCAATCCCTGCTCCCAACACCAACCCCAGGCAACACTAATCCATTATTTGTCCCTACGGTTGCCGTTTCTAGAAATTTTATATAATTATAATCATATACTATGATTCTAGTCTTTGAGTCTGGAATCTGTGTCTGACATGATACTTTTGAAGTTTACCCACATTGTTGCTTCTGTCAGTAGCTTGTTCCTTTGTATTGCTCAGTAGTAATCTATTCTATGGATACTGACTGATTGATTGATTGATTTACCTGATGGTGAACTTTTGGGTTGCTTCCAGTTTCTGGCTATTTTGTACAAAGCTGCTATGAACATTTCTATACATGCTGCGTGTGTGTGTGTGTGTGTGTGTGTGTGTAAGCTTAGTTTTTATTTCTGTTTGGTAAATAAGAATAAAATTTACTGGACCACATAGTAACTATATGCTTAGCTTTAAAGAAAGTGACAAATTATTTGCAAAATCATTTTTACCATTATATATATAGTACTACTAACATATGTGAGCTGTAGCTGTTCCATGTTCTCTCCAGAAAGATCGGCCACGAGAGTCCTAGAGACATGAAAACCACGTCCTGCCTCTGTTTTCTCAGATGGAGTCATCTCATGACCCTTTCTTCTTTGTTTCACCCTCTCCTCTATAACATTGTCCCCATCTCTTCCATAGAAAAAGATAAGGAACTTTTGCCTTAGCACCCTCAATTCCCAAATCAATTTTGAGTATAGTTGGTTTCCTCTCTCTAGTCACCTTTCCCTCTAAAATGGGAGCAGACTAAGGTTCTTTACAAGCTTTGATGTAAAAGCAAAACTTAAAAAAATTGAAAAACTTAAATGAGAAAATGCGGTGAAATAACTTTGTGATATTGGACAGGGGAAAAGATTCTCTAATCAAGACTCCAAAGTTCTGATCAGAATGAAAAATATTATTAGATTTTACTACAGTGGAATAGCAGCTCCACGTTCAGGGGACGGTGTGATAGACAAAGTGAAAAGAAAGAGGTTAGATTGAGAGAATTCACACAACTGGAAGCAGTAAGCAATCAATACAAAGACTTCCTACAAATCAGCTATGAAGTCCAGTAGGAAAATTAGCAAACAAAATGAACAGGCACTATACAGTCAGGGAAACTGAAGACACAAATAAGCACATGAAAAGTGTTCTAACTCACAAATAATCATTCCATCCTATAAATAAAACATATTCTTGTTAGCGAATAAAGTGTAACATCAAATAATGTTAAATGTTGGTGAGAATGTGGGGCACTAGAACTTTCATCCATGGCTGGTGAAATTGTGACCTAGCCAACTCCTCTGGCCAGCAAATTGTCACACCTTTTTAGGATGTATATTTTTCCCTGACCTAGAAATCCCGCTACTGAGTGCAGCACCCCAGGTGTTACCATGGGGCCACAGAATACTTGAGCCAAGATCTTCATCGCACTGTGCTTTTTTTTGTAGGGAAGCCATGGGCCAATTTAGGGTTCTTCAACAGTAGGATTAATGAATGAAATTGAGTCTCTAGAGAGTACAGAAGAAACAATAATAGCCAGTATCCACACAGTGCTTATGGTGTGTTCTAATGCATACATGTATTAATTAACAACAGCCATTTGTTATTAATTTCCCCATTTTATAAGTGTAGACACAAGAGGTATAGAGGTGTAGAGAAATTAGGACAGCCAAGTCCCCTTGGCTCGAAGCAGGGAAGCCAGGTTGGCACTCTGCCTCCAAGAGTCTGTGTTCCAACCACTGAAGGAATTTCAAGGGGATGGAGTGAGATGGGAAGCAATCCCAAAACAGCAATTTCCATTATGTTAATATAATGGCAAGGGATGAGGAGCCCTATCGGATATCCAGCATGATGAGACATCCAGAGTAATGTTCTGGGTGGAGGGTTCTTGCTAAAAGTGAATTTTATAAGGCAATAGAGATGGACTTAGGAAAAGGCTTAAGAGCCTGACTAGTTTGGTCAAGTGAAGAATCATTATCACATCTGTATCTCTCTGTCTGTCTATCTATCTACCCATCTCTATCTTTGTTGATCTATCACCTCTTTATCATATACCTATCTAATCAAAGCTGCAGGAATTTCATTGATTCCATATTAAGTAACTTTATGGGAAACACAGGATAAATAACATTTCTTTATTCTTTTTAATTTCTCCTTAATCTCTCTAAATCCAGCGAATCAAAACCTCAAACCTTAAACACATTTATGTCAACTCCCTAGTATAAAATAATGCATAAAATAAAATTTCCATGTCTTTTGCTGCTACCCTAATGTTGCATCTTTTATGTATTTCTGAGTATATTTATACCATTCTCAAATACAGTTCTGCACTGCATAATGACATTTTGGTCATCAACGGACCACACATAAGACAGTGGTCCCATAAGATAATAATGTAGCTATCACCTCGCGACATCATAGCTGTTGTAATCTCACAGTGCAATTCATTACTTACATGTTTGTGGTGATGTAGGTATGAACATACAATTATGTACAGTGCATAATGCTTGATGAAAATAATAAATGATGATGTTAATGTTTTATGTATTTGCTATCCTATACTTTTTATTGTTATTTTAGAGTATATGCTTACTACCTTTTTTTTTTAAGTTAACTGTGAAACAGCCTCAGGCAGGTCCTTCAGGAGGTTTCCAGAAGGCATTATTATCATAGGAGATGACAACTCCATGTGTGTTACTGCCCTTGAAGACCTTCCAGTGGGACAAGATGTGGAGGTGGAGGACAGTGATACTGATAATCTTGACCCTGCATAGGCTTAGACAAATGTGTGTGTTTGTGTCTTGGTTTTATAAATAAAATATTTAAAAGTAAAATAAAGAATAGAAAAAAGCCTATAGAATAAGGTTATAAAGAAAGAACATTTTTTTTTACAGCTATATAATTTGTGTCTTTTTTGTTTATTTGTTTGAGACAGGGTCTCACTCTGTCACCCAGGCTGGAGTTCAGTGGCACAACCACAACTCACTGCAGCCTTGTCCTCCTGGGCCCCAGGGATCTTCCCACCTCAGGAGGACACCAGTCCCCAAGTAGACATCAGGCCCCAAGTGGACACTGAACTCAAGGTGTACACCAGGCCCTAAGTTGACAGCCAGGCCCCAGAAGGACATGAAGGCCCTAGGTGGACAGCAGGGCCATGCTAAACACCAAACTCATGTAGACATCTACCATGCCTTAGGTAGATATGTAAGCTCCAGGTAGACATTAGACCCAAGGTAGACATCCAGTCCCCAGGTGATCATCAGGACCCAGGTAAAAACTCAGGCTTTAGGTGCACATTGGGCCTTAAGTGATACCCAGGTCCCAGGTGATTACCAGGCCCCAGGTGGGCACCAGGCCTTAGGTGAACAACAAGATCCAGTAGGCCATCAGAACCCATCTGCATACCAGTCCCCAGGTGGACAAAAGGCCACAAATGGGACATAAGCCCAAGGCAGACATCAGACCCCAGGTGAACATGCAGGTCCCAGGTGGAAATCAGGCCTGAGGAGGACATCTGGCTTCTGGTGAACATCAGGTGCAGGAATACAAGCAGGCTCTGGGTGGATATAACTGTGTATAGGTAAGACGTTGACCTGCAGGGGTGGTAAGCAGTCAGCAGCTCAGTGGGGTCCCGAGTAGGTCTTATGGAAGGAAGGGGCTGAGGGGACGGAAACTTAAAGAAGTGACCTCACTTCCTTGATGACAGATGAAAAGAACTTAGAGAGCTCTGGTAACTGGGTGCCCCTATCCTAGAGTCAGCCTTGTAGCCAGCTTGTTTGGTGGGAGACGCTCAGGAGAGTAAGATGTTCTCGTGCTGCATCCCCACATCTTGAGGCTCCTGCTTAGCAGGGATGAGACCCTTTTCCAATGATGCCAACAAAGGCTCATCATTCACCCCAGACCCTCTGGCCATTTGGCCAAAGGTGCCCCAGGTACCACAGGGCAGGCCAGGGCAGGTTCTACCAGGCCAGGCCTCACCAGTGATCCCATCAGGGTCACATCTACACATTGTCCTTGTCCTCATCCAGCTGGAGCCTCTGGAGCCTATGAGGCACAGGCACATGATGAGGTGGCTTGCAGTCTGGAAGACTTTCTTGGGGTGCTGTTTTCAGGCTGAAATTCCTTTAAATTCAATGAGGTTGTATTTGTGTTCAGAAATTCCAGTGGAAAGCGACTGATGTTGGTGACCCTTTCTCCTTTTTCAGCTCCTTCTCCATATGCAGCACCACAGGAACTTCCAGTACTGTTCAGCCAGGGCCAACACCAGAGGAAGGGCCCCCTCAGGAATAGCGCTGGAGCTAGAGGATGCTCCAGAGCCCTCTCACCCCTGCCCTGGTACAGCCAATGACAAGCCCAATGAGGAGCTGCCTGCCGTCCTGGCACCTGCTGTGACCACTGGCCTCAGCCCCAGAGCTGAAAGTGTGGCTGGAGCTAGTGGTGGCCAGCATGGTCCCAGTCAGCAGCTACCATCCTGCTCCTGTCCTGGGCACAGTGGGAACCATGGAGGCAGAGACCCGGACATGCAGCCTGGGTTCCTCTGCCTCGCTGGAGAGAGGCTTCTCCCATTGAGCAGAGCCGCTCCTGTGCTGCTGCAGGACCTGCTTGAGCTGCTGCTTCTGGGGGTGTATATCTGCCTGAAAAGGTGCTAGAGAGCAGGAAAAGGAGCCTGCGAGGAGGGGTTCCAGCAGCTCCTCCTGCTCCCAGAGGTGCCCTCTTTCTCCTCTGGGAGCTGCCCTCAACTGGGCATCTGGGCTGTTTACCCCTGATGTGCTGCCCAGGATGGGCTCTTCTTGACAGGTGGGCAGGGGATGAAGTGGTCACAGAGCATCTCCGAAGGGTACAGGAACAAAGCTTCCAAATTCAGCACTTGTGCTCAGGGTCTCCATGGCATCACCTGCCCTAGGATTTATTCATAGTGTTAGAATTACAAGTTTATACAATGACGTTTAAGTAAAGTTTGGCTTTTTGAAACTTCAGGCCTTCTTTAACTCCCTAATGTTAGATGGTGTTTTTGAGGCTATCCTGAAATTCTCTGATAGCTGTGTCTTTTTGTTGTGCTGGTTTGTGTGATCAAATTACCATCAAATCAACTATTATTGGAAACCTTTCAGGTATGGCTTTTAGAAGACCTTGATCTACTTTTGCCCGTTTTGACTCACTGGTTTCTTGTGGAAAGAGGGATCATATAGGTTCATTTCTCTGGCAGATCAATCACCTTTTGCCATCAAAGATTTGACATCAGATTCCAAAAATTATGTGTACAAGTTGATATGTTGGTTCTTTATCTAATCTGAGGGTCAAAACAGAATGTCATAGCCTAGGTAGCATAGAAACAAATGTATTTCTCATAGTTCTGGAGATGGTAAAATCCAAGGTCAAGTGGTCAGCAGATTCCGTTTCTAGTGAGGGCTGGCTTCCTGGTTAATAGTCCTGTTTCTACTGTGTCTTCAGATGACAGAAGAGATGAGGGAGCTCTCTGTGGTCCTTGGATAGGGGCACTAATCCCATTCATCAGGCCTCCGCCTTCATAACCTAATCACCTCCCAAGGCCCCACCTCCAAATGCCATCACATTGGGAATTAGATTTCAACACATGAATTTGAGGAGGGCAATAACATTTGGTTTATAGCATCAGGTCATCCTAATCCATATTCACTCACAGGAAATCTATAATCATCTATAGTTTTTTGCTGGTCCCCTCTGGGTTTAGGAATTTTTTTTTTTTTCCTTCTAGAAAAATGACTTTTTTTTTTTTGAGACGGAGTCTCATCCTGTTGCCAGGCTGGAGTGCAGTCATGTGATCTTGGCTCACTGCAACTCCTGCTTCCCAGGTTCAAGTAATTCTCCTGCCTCAACATCCCGAATAGCCGGGACTACAGGCACTCATCACCAAGCCCAGCTAATTTTTGTATTGTTAGTAGAGATGGGGTTTCACCATGTTGGCCAGGCTGGTCTTGATCTCTTGACCTCGTGATCTGCCCACCTCAGCCTCCCAAATTGCAGGGATTACAGGCATGAGCCACTGCGCCTGGCCGGAAAAATGATCTTTTATGTGATTCACGGTTTATTCATAGAAAAGCACGGTGAGTTCACACACTTGCCAAAAAGGGAAATTGTGATACAGAAATGAGAATGACTTCTCTCTCTCTTTTTCTTAACCAACCCATTGGGCTGAGAGGTTGTAGGGGCCCTTGGCTGGATAGAGCCACAAATGGTAAATATAACTTCTTGGTCAGTTTGGAGTGAAAATGGTGACGGTTTGTCAAAGAAGAAAAAGTAAAGCAGATGGAGAAGTTCTTAGTTCTTATTCTAGCTATGCTACCCCTTTCCTATCACACCCCAACCCCAACTCAGGAACTAAGACGTGACACAGTAAACACCAAGACACTGGTATCCAACTGACCCTTCTGAATGCCCTTGTTACCTCCTGTATCAATTCCAGGCTGAGCATAGAGGTCAGGAAGGTAGCAGGAACATGATGATACACCGTGGAGGTCAGCCAGGGCTAAGACAGGGCTGCCCACTAGGGCTAGAAATTAGTCAGGAAGGAAGAGGCTCAGTGCTGACCAGCTCTAGCCTTCGAGTCAGTGAGCAATGAGACTGTGGCAAAAGCAGGCAGTGGAAGCCTGAGGTAGAAAGGCAGGGGAAGAAAGCAAGTACAGGGCGAGAAGAGAACTGCGGAGCTAACGCAGCCAATCTGATGGCAGAGGGAGACTGGTGCTTAGGAGCTTGTTTGGTGAGAGAATGAATAGAGGAGGCGCTGAGATGGGAAACAAACGTTTAGGTGGTGAGAGAGATTTAAGAGGAACGGGGAAGAGAAATCTGGCCAGCAGGAAGGACACATTCATGCAGATCCTCAAACATGAATACAAAGACATCCCTACATGTAGAAATATGCTCAGTTACACATATAAAGACATGGATGCATGGATTGCAAGCATACACACAGACACAAACAGATTTTCACACGTCCTCATGTGTACCCAGATACAAATACACACTAAACATGCGCAAAAATGAATGCATTTACAATAGATATGCATCCTCACGTGTACACAAATGTGTATATCCTCACATAGAAATGCACAGGCCAGTGTGCACATATTCACACAGGTACACAGCCATAGTGCTGACATAGATACACACAAATATGTCTGTGCACGTACAGACAGGCATGCACAGATACGTCTTTGCACATAGACACATGTACTTAGCCATACAGATACACACACACATAGTTATACATAATTATAGATGAAACCACATGCTGTCTAACACAAAGGTGACCAGAGTAGATGAGTATTATGAGCTCAGCGCCTTCTCAGACTTTCATCTTCTCCCTGCGCTTGTTTCTCAGGCGCTCAACGGGCTCCTGAAGAGGCAGGAGCAGGAGCTTCAGTGTCCTCGTAGCTTTGTGAGGCAAAAGTCTAAGTCCAGTCCTGGCCTCTGCCCCTCACCTGCCACTGGGCTATAAATGCCCTCTCTGTAGGTGGGGGACTCTGCATAGACTAGACTTGGGATTTTTTTCTAACTGGCTGTTTTTCTCTGTGGCACCCCCAACTCTTCCACTGCTCATAGCATACACTCTGCAAGGGAAACCTGAGAAATGGTTGTGAGTCTTCTCAGAAAATAAGCATATCTTCCCACCTGCAGCTACTTCAAGTGCCCATCAAACCAGAACCAGAAGTATAAATAGTTACAACTTCACAATAATTGGCAACACATATACTATAGTATTTACAGTACCATAGGCGCATCTGTTTCTTTGGCTAAGCAATTCCTGAGACATAACAGTGTTCTGTGTTTGCCAAGGGAGACAGGGCCAAGGCCCAGGACATGCAGGATACAGGGGCATGAGGCGTATGTTGTGGTGTTTCTGGTTGATCTGCAGGGCCCAGCTCCTCCATGAACAGTGGGCTGTATGAGAAGCTGGACTCTCCCCAACCTTAGCCCTGTGGTCCTTTGGCCTCAGCCACAGGTGCTCGGAGTCCTCTCAGGGTGGACAGATGTTTTAGTGTCCTTGGCCTGTCCTGATCCTACCTGGGGACCCAGGCTGCCCTGGCGGTGAGCCATCTGCTTTCTCAGGCAAAGCACTCTCGCACCAGCAGCATCAGCTTTTTCTTGTCTTTGTAGATGTGTTGATGAACTGGGCAAATTGCAAGTGGTCATCCTGGGGCCGCAGGAAGGTCTCCCAAGCCTTGCTTAGAAATTCAGTGAACTCTCTGTAGTGGCTAGAGCTGATGCGTACTAAGTGTGAGTGTGTAGTATTGACATAAATATTGAAGAGTGACTGAGGGCACAAGCTCAGAGCACATCACTGATACTGCTTGAAGGCCAGATTAAGATGGCTCATAGCCAGTGAGGCCAGCTTGAAGGCATGGAGTGGGTAGCCATGGAGCCCCACGTAGCAGGCGATGGTGAACAGCTGTGAATGGGTCATGCCACCAGCATCAGCGTCAGTGGCAATCTGGTAGGCTGCCTCAAAGGCAATGTGGTTGTCCTCACAGAGTGTAAGGGCTGACAGGGCACAGCTCTGTGGATGATTCATAGTACACTACAGGGCCATTGTGTGAGCACAGTTAGCCAGTTCCTCCTGCTGTGGATAGTCAAGACTGAGGCACAGGATAGCGGTGTGGGATACGGCTGTGGCAGCTACAATACTAGTAGCCTCAGTAGGGGTAAAGCCCGTGTACCAGCTCTGCAAGATGTCAGGGAGAGCCTGAGCTCAGCCGTGGCCATTGGGGTCCTGTTTTGATTCTGCCCAGATTACCATTTGGGGTTTGAATGTGGCCTGCAGAGATGAATTCTCCCTTCTCCTCAGCAACCTTGAGATGATCTGAGACAAACCAGGGAAAGGGGAGCATCCTAGATGGCCAGACCCTGTTTGGGGTCTTTGCTATCCCTTCCTTCCTCCATCAGAGGGTTGAAGGTTTCTGCAGGTGCTCTTAGTTTCTCACAAGGATGAGGCAATAGAGCCTGTGGTTTTCTTGCCCTGAGGTCAGGGTTGCGGATCTGCCAGGGGTTCTAGCTGAAGTGAGGCCTCTCAGGGTAGAGTCTTGTGCTGGGGCTTTGGGCTTAAGAAAGGGTCCTAAGCCTCTTAATTGTCTGGGGTTTCTCACAAGCATGGACAGGGATGGGGACCAAACCACCCAGTACACTATCTCCCAAGGGAGCACTTGAGTATTGGCAGATGAAAATTCACTCTCTTAAACCTGTTTCTGATAAGAGGGTCAAAGTTCTGCTGACATCCGCATAAGGTTCAAAAGCAATGAAAGCAGGGCTTGGGCTGGCTGAACAGAGGTCATCTTCTCCCACCAGCAGCCCCATCCTTTCTTAGGCCATCAGGAATAGGAATATGAGAGCTCTAAAAATTTATTGTCCTGTCCCAAGAGTAGGGTTTAGAAATTCCTTACCTGGCAGGTAGACAGAGGTGGGAGACTCACCCGCTTCTGTAGCACAGGTCACCAATCACTGCACCATCTCCCAGTGTCTACAGTTAAGGGTTGATAAGGTCATCTGTATCACCTGTAACCCAAGTTCCGGGGCCACGTTGAGCCGGGTGCTGTCAGTACTGCTGTCAATGGGAGTAGCAATCTTGAATACATTTGGGCCAGTCTGAAGATGCCGGAAGAAGAATGAATGTGCTTTGCTTCTGTATTGCTTCCAGAAGAGTCTCAGTGTCTCCTTTAGCAGCAGTCAGCATGGTGGAGGTCAGTTCACAGTGCTGTGATTCCAAGTGTCCAAGTGTGAACCAGCGAGGATAATGGCTGGGCACCACAGACCCCATAGGGTGAGGGTGGGATGTGTTGCCTGAAGGAGCTGGGTTTTCTTTCTTTTTTTTAAGATGGAGTTTCGCTCTTGTTGCCCAGGCTGAAGTGCAATGGTGCGATCTTGGCTCACTGCAACCTTTGCCTCCTGGGTTGAAGCGATTCTCCTGCCTCAGTCTCTGGAGGAGCTGGGATTGCAGGCACCTGCCACCATACCTGGCTAATTGTTTTTGTGTTTTTAGTAGAGATGGGGTTTCTTCATGTTGGCCAGGCTGGTCTTGAACTCCTGGCCTCAGGTGATCCACCCTCCTCAGCCTCCCAAAGTGTTGGGATTACAGGTGTGAGCCACCACACCTGGCCAGAAGCTGGGTTTTCTAAAACAGGTAACCTCATGGCACATAAGGTTAATTTATAGGACAGGGCTGGATTATGAGGCAACAGAGCTGAGAGCAAATACTTGGCACAGGTATGCGTGGGAACACTCTTTCAGTGGGTTACTTCTCCCAACTGCTGAAAGGGCCCCTTCCAGCAGTAAGATATGCTGTAGGGTTTGCATTAGCTTACTGTCAAGCTGCAGCTCTTAGAGTTGGCTTAGGAACTGCTCTCATTATGGCACACCTTGTCCTGTGTAGAGAGGCCTTCAGGCATTACCCTCTGTTGACCCAGGTCCATCAGTGCAACTTCCAGGGCCAACGGCAGTAAGAGTTACTGCTGGTTTGGGGAGCCTGCAGCCGCAGGTACATGTTGGTACACAGGGGGTCTGCTTTCATTCATATCAGACATCTCCAGGTAGCTGTCATCATTCAGGCAGCAGGCCTCAGTCAAAATGAGAAACAGGCAGCCAATGGGATGGGGGTGGCCCACCCAGCCCTCCAGGTTTGTGATGGTTGTGGTTCCTCTCTGCAACAATTCTTTCTTCTGATGCTTGTAGA